TAATCAACCAGCTCAGCAGACCTAATAAGTAATAACCGAAAAAGAATAGGAGTAAAAATTAAAAGTGAGCCTAGAATCCAGCCATAAGCATATATTCAAATTGTTACTGATTATATAAAGCTCATTGAAGTTTTTGAATCTCAAAGCTTTCAAATAAGTGAGAAGCTTCGAATAAAACAAGATATTGAGGTTATTCATGAAGCAATTTAAATAAACGAACATAAACGAACAAAATTTTTTGTGTTCATGTTCGTTCATTAAGGAATATAACTTGTTCATATTCGTTCATTTAAATAATAAACGAACACGAACAAACGAACATAAACGAACATAAACAAACGAATGTAAAAAAAGTAAACAGCAATAATAACAACTTAAAATTCATTAATATAACCTGCAACTTTAGAGTTAATTTGTTCGAATACGACAAAAACATACATAAATCATAAATAAGCTATATGAACATAATAAAGTCTTAAAGTTAATTTGTTCAACAAAATAATCTTCTTGAAATCCAAACAACTTCAATAATCTTCGTAACATATTCAACTTGCACTCTGTTCGAACATAAATGAACATAAATGAACGAACATATAATCGAACGTTCACGTACGTAAATGAACGAACGAGCCATTTGTTCACGTTCGTTCATTTAATTAAACGAACACAAAATCTTGTTCATGTTTATTCATTTAATAAATAAAAGAACATAAACGAAATTCTCTCTGCACGGTTCATGAACGGTTCGCTGAACGTTCAGATCATTTATAGACCTACAAGCGCTTGAGTGATGGAAATGGACTGGGCGGCGTTTGGATCTGCTCCTGCGGGCTTCTGGTGCTTTCACAAAAGAAAAAGGGAAATTTAATTGGGCTTTGAAGTTAAGACAAATCTCAACAACCTAGTAACCATATCCAAGCCTCATTCAAATTGTAGTTTATATTTATTTGGCTTAATACCTAAATAAGGGTCCAAATTATATTTTGAATATATACTTAAACTATTTTTCTGACTTATCCAAGTGTCTACCGTTACAAACATTATCATTTTAAGTGTTCGTGCCGTCAACGACATTAATTTTCCAGTTAAGTAGTACGTGTTAGAATCTGATGATTTTAAAATTTTTATTTAAAATTAATATATATTTTTTAAAAATGAACATTTTGAATAGACCCAAAACTTTGAAAACCCTCATTTCAACCCCTAAATCCATACTAATAATCTTCCTTTACCGTCGACGAAGCTCTACCTGATCTTATATCCCCTGATGACCAAAGTCCCCATGAAATCATGATCGATCAACGACAAACTGACGTTTTACACTACTCGAAACCTAGGATGAAAATTACGATCTCAACGACCAATCAACGAAAAATATGACGATATTTGACTAGTAGGATGGCAAGAACTATGCCGGGGACGATGGTCGTGGCCGAAAAGTGAGGTGGGTTAAACTTTGAAAACCCTCATTTCAACCCCTAAATCCATACTAATAATCTTCCTTTACCGTCGACGAAGCTCTACCTGATCTCATATCCCCTGATGACCAAAGTCCCCATGAAATCATGATCGATCAACGACAAACTGACGTTTTACACTACTCGAAACCTAGGATGAAAATTACGATCTCAACGACCAATCAACGAAAAATATGACGATATTTGACTAGTAGGATGGCAAGAATTATGTCGGGGACGATGGTCGTGGCCGAAAAGGGAGGTGGGTTAAGGATAGGGTTTGATAATTTTAGGTATTTTGGGGCTCTTTTATAATTTGAGAAAAATTAGTTTTTTTTTATAAATATAATATATTTTTAAAAAAAAATAGATTTTAAAATATTTGTTTATGACATGTGTCACTTAACGGGAAAAATTAACACTGTTGACAGCCTGGATACCTAAAATAATTTAGACACCTGAATGGGTCAAAAAATAATTTATACATCTATTCTAGAATTTAACTGTAATTTAAACATTTATTTTGGTATTAAGCCTGTTTATTTAGCTATTGCACAATGTTTGTATAAGGGTTCATGACATCACCCACCATCCGAGACAGAGTGAAAAACAAAGGCCCAAAAAGGGGAGGGTTGTTGGGGTTTTAAGATGTAAAGTGGTCCACTCCATGGCTCTGTTGATGTAGCAACTGTACTGTGACCCTTGGGGGAAGCTCTTTATACCCAACCGTTCGTCTGCTTCATCTAACAGTCTGGTCCATTACTCCGCTTGAAATTAATAGTTGATGATATGTTGGTGCAATGGCTTGCTTGGAGAGTCATGCCGCCGACCTTTTAACTCTCAAACATTCCGGACTAGCACATAGAGATTCCCTTCCCTGAATTACATATCCATGATTCCCAGAGGTTTATCCCCCTCGCCTCTCCCTCTGCTGCACAAGCTTCTACTCCCCTACATATTTGTGGTCACTTCAGTTCAAAATATCTTAACCTTGTATATCCCATTCCCTATACTTTTAACATTGAGGTTCGTGAAACGATGTAAACGAGTCGAGTCGAGTTTGAGTATTGTTGAGTTTGACTCGATTCGAAAACTCTGAAATGAAACTTGACTCGACTTGAAAACTTCGATAACTTAAAATTTTCAAGATCGACTCGAAATCGAAATCTTGAATTGAAGCTTGTGAGCAGCTCGAAAAAGGATCGAAATGAAAAAAAATCCTAAATTTAACTCGATTGAAGCCTTAAATTCAAACTTGAACCTAAATCTTAAATACATGAAAGACTTATTGTATTTTTTTGAAAAAAAATCAACAAATAAATATTAGTATTATATTTTCGAACTGATCATGAATTTTTCGTGTCGAATATTAAATAGTTTGTTTAAACTCATTAAGAACTCGAGTCAAATTCATTCAATTCAAATATTTATCAAATATTGATCGAATTAATCTCGAATAACTCTTGAAATATCTAGTTTCATTTACGACCGTAGATATTCAACTTATTTCTTCAAGTTTGGTTACTCAAAATATCTTTGATACTGCTCCATATTTTAAACCTTTTTTATAATTATATTTCCATTAATATCCAAAACTATTTAGTGGCGTGCCCTCACCTAAACTTAGGAACTCCAGAAACTCCAATATATATCCACGTGTATCCTTTTGCATGCCGTAAGCATAGTGTTCCTCCATCTCCCCCCACCCCACCCCACCCCAACACACTTTCCCAAAACCATGGCCTCCCCTGCCTCCACTTTCCTACAAAAAATCCAATCCCACTCACCGAGCACCACCCACCTCCTGGGTTTCTTGATCCTCTTCTTCGTTTCGGCCTCCATTCTCTTAATCCTCACCGGCATAACCCTCATCGCCTCCGTTTTCGGCTTCATCTTTTTCATGCCTTTGATAATCGTTTCCAGTCCTGTTTGGTTCCCGATATGTGCCCTGCTCTTCCTCGCGGCCGCTGGTTTCTTGTCGGCATGCGGCTTCGGAGTGGCCGTGGTGGCCGGGTCGACTTGGATGTACCGGTACTTTAGGGGCATGCACCCGCCTGGGTCGGATCGGGTTGATTCAGCTCGGAGCCGGATTTATGATACGGCTAGCCATGTTAAGGATTATGCTATAGAATATGGTGGATACTTGCAAAGCAAAGTCAAGGACGCTGCTCCCGGTGCTTGAGCAATGGGGTTTCCACCCCTTGTTTTTTTTTATTTGTTTATGGAATTTGGATTTGTGTTGATGTTGATTTCGAGTCTTTGATCCTGTTTTTTGTTATTCGTGTCTAATTGAAAATTTGGATAATAGATCGGATGTGTTGATTTGTAAGATGCAAGAATAATGATAAAAAAAAGGATACAAGGTCATCGACAGAGGATTGTTTTTATATTTTCTTCCATTCTTGTTACATAATATATCTGATTAGCTCATTTTATATTCGCTCAAACTCTACAATCTATCTACATATAGGCTTCAAATTTTACTGAAATCTATTTATATTTATAAGTAGGCGCATGCTCTTGGGTGCTTTATACATGGAAATGGTGGAGGTGGCTCGGAGGGTCTTCGGAATTCACCGCACGGGGACCAGAGCGGTTGTGGTTCCGTCATTCAACCAACACAAGCTGTTCCACTGCGTTTATATGATGTTGATCTCTAGGCATTGTCTCATCTGAAAGAACATATTCGGGATTGTCTTGTCTGCATTTGTTGAGCTTTTTATAGAATAAATAATTTTTAAAACTTAAGATTTTCAATTATTAGACAGCATACTTATCAAGCAAGAAAAAAAATAAGCTACTAATAAAAGAACTTCATCAACCACGTAACTATCCAATAATTATTTGGTAACTAAACTTCTAGTAAAGAGTCTGATCTTTCATGCACGGCATATAATTGTGTGTGTGTGTGTGTGTGTGTGTTTTGTATTATAATTATATTCGAAAGAAGATACTTGGGGAAAAACAAACTAAGATGGCGTCAACCAAAAATGAGTAAGTTATGTGTGTGTATGTATATTCACAAAGAGATTGAATAAATTAAAATTTGAAAAGTTCATAGAACCCTGAATAATTTGCAAATCATTAGCGAATATAAGTTGTTGATAGGAAGTGTTAAACATTCATCAATTTCTTTTTCGAAATAACTTTTACTAATTGTTTAAATATTTATTATTAAAATAATACTATTAATATGTGTCTATAAATATGCATAAATAATTTAGATATTTATTATAATATTTGTAATAGTTTAAGGTAAAGAGTTTTGAGAATTCTTATGCACTTCGATTAAAACCATGAATTTAAAACAGGTTTCTGAATTGACTTGAGATCCGCAAAACAAACAATATTAGTAACTACGTTTGATGTTGTGTAACTCGATAGCTTTGTACATATACTCTAGAGAAGAAAATGGAAACCATAGATAAATTAACTCTAAATTTTCTATGGGTGTGGGACTCAAGATTCAATATTTCATTTTCCAATACACTAATCACATGTTTTTGTGTATTAAAAACAATACGTTGCAAAGTAACGAAAGGAAGCATAAGCAAACACCCACCTATAGGAACACAGCATGTAGCACCTTAGAGATTTAACACAAAAAAGGAAACGCCGTAAACGAAAACATCTATGTGTTAAACAACCTTTGAGCTGTTTACCTAATCAAACCATTCTTTGAGCTGAGGTAAGCAGGCATGGGGCTGTCACGTGGGGAAGGCTCTTCCACTTGGTTTCCTTTGCTATCGTAATAAATCACACCTGAAAAATCCAACGGCTGACATTTGTCGCCCATCAGGATCGCCCTTTGCCATACGCCACCGTCACCGATCTCCTCCGCCTCTGCATCTATCCTGTTTCCCTCGCCGTGCCTCTTCCGACGCACAAACTTGATCGCCTTGTTACTGAGCGTCGCCAAAAGCTGCTTCGGCCTCGGCGACGCGAAGAATCTCGGAGAATCGGAACGCAAGCCGAATTGGTCTTAGGGTTTGGCTTCAGTTTTTTGGAAGCTCGGGCGGCGTGCTTGGCATATTCAACCGCCCTAAATTATATTTTCTTTAAACTTATTTCATATTTTCCTTAAAGATATTTATCAATTATAATTTATTTAAATAATGGTTATCTATTGTTCCCATATGTAATGGGGTAAGGAGAGGTAAGATAATAGGTTGCCCCCAACATTAGGTTGAGAGTAATTTTCATAGGAGACCTTCAAATTATGAAATGCCCTCTATGGGACTCGATCCCACGACCTCAAGGTTATGAATCTTGTGTTCTACCAACTGAGCTAGATGGTCATTTCAATTATAATTTATTTAAATGATATGTTTTATTAATTTTTCCATTAAGTTAAGTTAATTATAATAAATTAGTATTTGTTTTAAATACTTTCAATCATTTGACAATGAATACTTAATCACCTATGATACAATCGTTGTTGTTCGAACTTGAGACCTCTAAAAATAACAATCATTCCTTTAACCACTAGAGTAATTTGATTCGTGCATATTTTATTTCAATTGCTACTTTTGTAAAGGGTGGGAGCATTGCGAATAATATTCTCCTAGGAGCATGTTAGGGGATATGGAAGAAAGACTCTCCCCCAGATGTGCCATTAAAGCTAATATGCAGAAGACTTTTGACTTCCTAAACTGAAATCTATTCTAGGAGTTTTGTAAGGGTTAGGTTTGTCTGCTCAGGTTAGGAAGTGGATTGAAGTGTGTATTATTGGTTTCTTGTTTTTTATTTCTTTTAATGGGACCTTGGTTGGTTACTTCAAAGGCAGGAAGGGGATCTTTTGTGCCTTATTTGTTTGTTCCGTTAATGAATATGTTGAACTAGGTTGCTGGATGAGGCTGCTGTAAAGAAGATTTTCTATTTTCACCCAAGTGCAGGAAAATAGGGTTTACTCATTTGTGCTTTGTAGATAACTTGTTTATTTTCTGCAGAGTGAGCATTGAGTCCATTCTGGGGATTAAATGTGTTATGGACCAGTTTTATGAATTTTATGAATTAAGGATTAATGCTGTAAAGCCTGAGATGTTCTTCTCTGGTATGACTGAGGGTCAACTGGCCTTGTTCTTGAGGCTCACATTTATTGAATACATGAAAAAATGAACTATAGGTAATTTAGGGATGTTAAGAGCAGTATAAGTGAGATTGTAGATATTATTAAAGGAATTGTCCGAATCAAAATGTATAAGAATATGATTCAATATGATGTTGTAAATCATGACCTTAAATTGCATTCCAACTAAATAAGATGGTGTCATATCCCCAATTGGAGTACCACTCATACATGTCAGACAATCAATTATTCTATTACTCGAGCGTCGTATGTACTCGATGTGTACTTCCTTTTGATGTAGATCCTTATGTTAAATATATGTTAAAATTACTAAATTACACACTCCACATCCACGATCTGGGCCAACGACATATTTTGCACACAAAAAGTGGTTTTTACCCAACAAAACAAACGACGCAAGTAGAAGTTTTTTTTTTGGTCTGCGGTGTTTCCTATATTATTAATGGAACTCATCACTAAAGATGGTAAACGGATATAATTTTGTGGGTCTTGTACTATATTCGTTTAAATTTGAGTGAGAATGGGTATAAGTTTAGTGGATAGTGGGCGGGAGTAGATGTAAAAAGTCATACTCACTGTGAGTAGTAGGTAGGTGATGGATTTGATACCTTATTCACTCGGCATCCGCCCACCTCGCATCCACCCGCCCCGCATCCACCCGCCCGACCACTAACTACTCAACATATAAATTTTAGACAATTGTAAATTTAGATATAATTTTAGAAATAATTTTGTAAATCTTAAGATTTTATAGGACATGATTTATAATTTAACCTAATGTTAGGGTTATTGATGCTGGGATGTCACCAAGAGTTGAGGAATCTATTTCTGTTGTTAATAATGAGATATTACGTCGAAACTTCTTGGAGCTCACCACCAACTTTTTGGCTCCATTTGGACCATATTTTAGGGCTACTACTCCTTCTGAAGGATCTTCTCCATTTGATGACCCCCCTCCACTACATCCATTTAATGCTGATGATTTTCTCATGAGCTTATCAGCAATAGGGGTGGGCAAGTTTCTCTCCAAGCGTGTGAGACCTAACTGGCTGGATCTGTATAGGTAATATGAATGTTTGCTTCCACTTCTCAGCTTTATTAGTTGATTTTTTTATGTGTCTTGCTTGTGCATGTTAATTTTGTCATCCAGCTTTTGCATGCAGTCTTTGGTTACTGCAGTCTATTAATTGTACGTTTGAGCTAGAGATGCATTCTCTTTGCGTTCAGGCGTTCTTAAGGGACCCAACTTTATGCCATGGTTTCAAAGACGGATTGCTGTTGCAGAAAATGAGCAAAATAGATTGTGGAGACAGGCGAGAATGAATACTGACATACATCTCCTTAAATCTAGAATGCCTGAATTGGAAATTGTTGACAGCTTTAACGCTATTGAGAGGCATCTTCTTGGAGAAATACAGGTAATTTTACCTTTTTTCTGGATGATATTAGATGTTTGTGTCTGATATTGACTGTTTCAATGATATTAGGAGTACCCTGCTTGGAGACATGCTAATTAGTCTGAGAGAAGCAGTTAGTTTTAAATTACATGCTCCTGATTCATTTTGACACGTACACCTTGTTCTCCTTTCCACTCTTTCTTTCCTTAAATCTTTGCCGGTCTTTTTGTCATTCCTCTCACGTTCTTCTTTCAATTATCCAAGACTTACACTCTCAAATCTTCATGAATTTCTTTTTTACTTTTCTAATATGGTTCTCTCTATGTTAACCTTGTTAGTTTTCCTTCCATCTATTTTTCTGTCCAATGTTATAACTCTGCTATTATCAATTCTGTACTACCAAAAACTACCAACATGAAATCAGAAAATTAGGAGTCTCACTGAATAAGAAATTTTATTGCTAGATGCCAAACAACCTTTGAATCCAAATATTGATGCTTCATTTTAGATCTTCAATATGTTGGCTGCTGAGGTATAAAAGTAAAATCCAAAGAATTAATAGAATCACCAGTCATATTTAATTGAATACATTTTTTTGGGTGGGGGATGTTCTTAACTTCTTATTCTTTTTATTCAAATTTTTTTATACAATTAAAAGAGAGTGAAATATTCGGGATACAAGGAAATTTAAAGACATAACAGAAAGTGATATTCTAGAGTAGTACTAGCAATAATTAAAGACCAGAGATGAAAACAGAAAGAAATAAAGTGGAGAATATTTCAATGTCTCGATGAAGAATTTGGAGCGAGTAATTAAGTGGTGCTGGACTACATAGTTAACATTTATTAAGCTAGGCTTGCAATTTTCCATGTACCTATTGGCTTTAAGCCTAACTGGGCTTTACAACACAAATGTGATTGTCAAGTTTTTTTTAAATGTTTCAACTTTAGCGGTCTAACTTTGCAGCTGTTTCACCTTTCCATTTGATATAAAACAAAAAGCAAGTTGGATATAACAAATAATATTTGGCCAAAACTTAGACTATAGTTCAAAGAAAGCTTCTAATTCATATAAAACGATGGCTTATGGAATTAAAACAGAACAGCACGCCTTGATGTTTTGGAAGCATAAAGTCGGCAAAAGCAGCAATTAACAAAAGTAACTACATAAAAAAGTGTAAATTTTCACTATACTTGATGTTTTGGTTGGAGAAGCTTATGCACCACATTTTTTTTATGATTCTTTTCCTGTTCTCTGGATTTTGAATGAATCATTTCACCCTTGATCTCATCCTAGTAGCTCTAGCTTGCTGACAATCAAATTTGCAATCGAACTTCCTTTTTTGTCATTTGTTCTTCAGTGATCAGCCATAATGTAGCAACTCCATGCTTCATTATAGTGTCTACAAATGGATTCTTTCTAGCACCCTATTCTTGTATTAAGAAAGCTGTTCAATGTTTTGCCAACAAAAGTATGCCAATAAAAGGAATTCTAAGAATTTATCGTGTATTTTTGGGGAAGTTATGACAGATTACTTGCCTAGATATTTTTCGACCATTTATATATCGTCATCTATCTTGTAATGTCGGACACCTTTTAGTTACCACCGTCACATCTTCCATTTCAACTAATGAGCATTCCACCACGGCATCACCCATGCACATTGCATACTCACACAAAAGACTGCCTGTGCAAGAGAATTGTAGTGAAGAAGTGGTAAGTGGAGGAAACGGGCCATTGCAAGAATTATTTTTTTGTTCCTCAGCATAATAAGTTAGTTTGATATGGACTCTGCAAGTTATGGAACAAATTTGTTGTTTGAAATCATAGTGTAATTTAAGTTCTCTTTTTGTTTAAGTGGATAGTAAGACATGCTATTGGAAAATTCTCAGTGCTTTATCATATACGATTTGTTGCAATATTTATTACATAACGTACATTTTGCTAACTATTAGAATTGCACCGATGTAATCTTCAGCTGCAGCAATCTGGAAAGGCCGTATCAGACTCTGCAGCATTGTGCCAGAAATTGAAAGGTGATCTACAGGCAGTGTTCAATGTGCTTCCAAACGACATGCAGCAGCTTTTGCTTTTAAACCCCCAGAGAGCTGCTCTTCTACAGGGAAGTTCAAGTCCGGAACTGACAAAACTTCCCGGCCGTCCTTTGATTCAAGCTGGGGTTGTATCATCCAGTTCGCCAAGATGACAAAAAGTATGGCTCTGGTATCAACATTGTTCAGTATGCTTCTATAAGTAAGAAAAAAGGGCACGACCCATGATTCTCTTGTAGCTTCTTCTCCAAATTTTGGATGGAGATTCCCCTACTTTTGGCGTAATTGTTCATATAGGTGAGACTGAATACACTTGCAACTCTGTTTTCTGTACTATCATGTCATGTGTTATGCAATTTCTTAGAATGTTTTATCTTTACTTTCCATTTCCCCAATTTACAAAATAATTTGAAAGAGTTCATGCATATTTTGCTACTATTTTTGGTTTTCGGGCCACAGCTCTGACCATTTATTTTGATAAGGGGAAATGGATTTTAGGCATAGATTTCTACAATTTTTCTCATTCAGTCCTTTTGATGGTGGTGTTGAATTATCAAAATGATTTAAAAAAAAATCAAGCTCAAGGACTAACGTTGATTAAAGTAAAAATTCAGGGACCAAAAATCACTTTATCCCTTTTTAGTTTCACCATTTATCTTTTGAGTGCCTTGAGCAGATATCACATGCTGAAGGAGATCTGTTTAACAATAATAATACTAATAATGATGATGCTTTTCTGCTTTTAAGAATTCTTTCTTAAAAATTTCAACTTTGTTGGGCGTAAATTAAGAAGAAAAAAAGCCAACATTTCAACTTTAATCATCTATATTCAGATAAATCTCAAATTAATTAATTCTTGAAGAAATGTTTCAACTAGCTGAATTAGTGTAAATTATTCTATTTGAGAATTAATTCATTTTAATTCTAATTTGACTGAAAAATTTATATTTTGACAAATTTTAAATCGAATATATCTTAAATTGTAGTAATAGTTTAATTACTTTGATTTTAAATAACTTTTAAGTTGTAATATTTTTATAGTCAACAAAATCTACTTTATTAAGATTGTAATCAATCTCCTAATGATTGCACTTTGTATTATATAATCTCACTTCCGTCTATTGGTATATGGCCATTTCCAAAGATATATAATTATTAAAAAAAATTAACTGAATAAAAACAAAATTTTATTCAATGATTAAAAAAGTCTTTACTATTTTAGGTAAGTAAAGTTTTTGCTTCACAATATTTCATTGTTCATGTTAAGTTTTGTTTTGATGATTAGAAAGGTAGAAATCCGATTTATGGTTTCATAGGTAAGTGAAGAGGGAAGAAAGTAAATGGTGGAATGAAATAATATTATCTTAGGAGCCATGAAACCAAAGTAAAGAGATCGTTTTTTTAGCTGAACCAACTTGTAAAATCTCAGCATAAGCTCAAGAGAGGAAAAGGGAAATGTAAAAGCAATGGCTAAGTCCTTAGCAGTCAGGCTCGGGAGCAGAGAAGCATAGCAATGCATTTTCTGATGATGTAAAGCCTGCCTCTTCCTTGCTTAAGAAACCCTCCATTGGCCTTGTACCCTCTATTTGCACCTTTCTTCATGCCTTCAAATCACTCAACCTCTTTGGCCTCCGCTCTCTGCTGGGTATGGTTGGATGGATCATTTAAATGACTTGTCTTGTTTGGTTCTGGGGGCAAAGCAGAGAGAGTGTTGTTATATAGGGACGAAAAGCTATGGTTGTTTGGGGCCGGGGGTCAAAGATTTTGTTTTTGATTACTATCATCTCTTATCGTAGTTAATAATTGCGGAGGCTGAACACTCGTATAAAATGTTTTGACCAACATTGTGTTGCAACCGTCTTTTGGTTGGACTCCGAAATTGGGCTTCGACTTAAAAAAAATGTGGATTAGAGTCGCCACCGATCATTTATTTAAAAATAAATGGGTTGATCGGATACCCTATTTCTTACCTGATCTGCGTCTTACCAGAAATATGTCGGGCTCGAGAGTCGGTTACGGTCAAGGAAGGATTAGCACCATTGAACCGCCCTTTCGGTACTACGTAATTTCCAGTTGTCTTAATTAAAAAAAATAACAAGTTAAATTAAAAGGTAAAGTTTCGATCCTAATTACTTACCCTTGATTGATTTGAAAATATCCTTTAAAAAAAATCGAGAAATGTGTTAGATAAACAAGGTAAAGAAAACAAATAAGATACAAGGGAAAAATAAAATAAATAAGATAAGAAAAAAATAGAAAAGTAATAATTATATATAGTAATATTTGAATATATATATATATATATATATATATATATATATATATATATATCAAAGTATTAATAAAATAAATAAGCTATATATATACACCAAATACTTAAAAATAGAAAAGCTACCATCCCAATTCACCGAAAGTGGGGGACTTTAATAAGAAATAAGACAAAAAAATGGGCCCTCTAGATTAATAGTATATAATATAATGTTTAATAATAATAATGATAAAGACACAAGATTTTTTTTTTAAATAATAATAATATAATAATAATGAAAAAAAACGAAAATAATAAAAAATAATATAAATATATAAAGTTATAAAATATATTACATAAATAAATAAATAATCAAATAAAAATAATTAAGAATATATATATTTAATAATAGGTATATAAATAAACTATTAAAAGTATAAAAAATATATACGACTAGATAAAGATAATTACAATACATATATAGTAATATTAGACTTATAAGTAAAATATTAAAGAAATATATATATAATAATAATAAAATATAGTAAAAAATAAATGAAAATAATTTAATATATATATATATATATACATATAATAATAATAACATGAATAATAAAAATAAATGAATAAATATCCATATAATAAATAAAGGGACTAATATAGATTTTTAAAAAGCTATTCCCCTCCTTTAACCGAAAATCAAACCGATTTTTAAAAATAAGCCTCGGGGTAGATCTAGGTTCGAAACTTCGAAACCCCACCCATTTTGGTCATCGGCGCAACCAACGTTTTGGGTTATTCGAACCAAATCTCAAGAAAAATAACGTGCACATGCAAAAGAAAGAAAAAAGAAAATGCTACCTTTTATTTCATTTTCGAATCCTTTACAATTGTTTTGCCTTTGTATCTTCCCGTGCTTTCCTCTATGTTTTGTGTGTAAATCGTGTGTTACAATGGTGAGTTACAATGGCTATTTATAGTGCTTGTGGATCCTATCTTTAGGAATTTAAATCTTAGTAGAACTCTATCATATTTTTAGTAGTTTGAATCCTAGCAAAATTTTATCCTATTTTTAGGAGTTTGAATCCTAGTAGGACGAAAATGTGTGTTGACAGCTGCCCCTCTTTGCCCATAGTCGTGTAACGGGGATAGGGCAAAGATTAAAAGACACACTTTTCGTTCAGTGGAGTTGAAAATTAACTCTGATGTTTCAATAAGTCCCTGTCGAATTGAGTTACGGATGACTCCTCCATCATGAAGTCGAGTTCATCTTGAAATGATATGAAATTGAAGCTGTAGTTCGAAATTTGAATCAACACGTGGCTTCCCGTTACCCTTCGGTCTTCTTCTCAGTTTAAAGACCTTGGATCGGAATCGAACTCAGAAATCTTCATTGACAGATAGCTTTTTCTTGACTTAAGCTATGTTGTTTGAAAATGGTTGCTTGTCACTAAGGCACGGCTAACCCATGTCATCTTCTCGACTTGAAAACCTCGACTGCAACCGGAAAGTAGTGCGATTGATGTGTCATCGAGCTGAATGGAGTCGAACTCGACAATTTTGATGGCAGATAATCCTTCTTTGAGTTGGATATCCTTCGTCGTGAAGTTGAAATCCAAGTAAGTAGCATTGTTCCGAGTCCAATATCCTCCGTCGTGAAGTTGAAATTGGCTCTGGAACCGGGAAATTGTTTGTTGACAACCAGCCGTCCCTTCGTTGTGAAGTTGAACTTGTGTTGTTTCGAGTCCAATATCCTTCGCTGTGAAGTTGAAATCGACTCTGAATGAAATTTTGTTGACAAGCAGCGGTCCCTTCGTCGTGGAGTTGAACTTGCGTTGTTTGGAGTCCAATATCCTTCGTTGTGAAGTTGAAATTGGCTCTGAGATTGGGAAGTTGTTGTTGACAAGCAGCGGTCCCTTCGTCGTGAAGTTGAACTTGCGTTGTCTGGAGTCCAATATCCTTCGTTGTGAAGTTGAAATTGGCTCTGAGATTGGGAAGTTGTTGTTGACAAGCAGCGGTCCCTTCGTCGTGAAGTTGAACTTGCGTTGTCTGAAGTCCAATATCCTTCGTTGTGAAGTTGAAATTGGCTCTGAAATTGAGAAGTTGTTGTTGACAAGCAGCGGTCCTTTCGTCGTGAAGTTGAACATGCGTTGTCTGGAGTCCAATATCATTCGTTGTGAAGTTGAAATTGGCTCTGAAATTGAGAAGTTGTTTGTTGACAACCAGCCGTCCCTTCGTTGTGAAGTTGAACTTGTGTTATCTCGAGTGTCACGATATCCTCCGTCGTGGAGTTGAAATCGCGGATGTTTGGCTTCGAGCTAGACATCCTTCGGCGTGAAGTTGAAATCTATTCTCGAGCAAATTGTGTCGTTTCAAGAGAAACTGTCTCAAGGGAGACAAAATTTGTTTGAAGGAAAACATATTCAAAGATTTCGTTAAATTGTTTTCAAAGTTTATGTTTGGAGAGAAACTGTCTCAAGGGAGACAAAATTCGTTTCAAGGGAAACTATCTCAAGCAAGATAAAATTCATTTCAAGGGAAATGTTTTCAATGTTTATGTTTCAAGAGAAACTGTCTCAAGGGAGACAAAATTTTCTGTTTCGAGGGAAATTATCTCAAGAGAGAAAAAAAAATCATTTCAAGGGAAATGTTTTCAATGTTTATGTTTCAAGAGAAACTGTCTCAAGGGAGACAAAATTTTCTGTTTCGAGGGAAACTATCTCAGGAGAGAAAAAATTAATTTCAAGGGAAATGTTTTCAAGAGAAACTGTCTCAAGGGAGACAGAATTTTTTTGTTTCGAGGGAAACTATCTCAAGCAAGATAAAATCTTCTTAAAAAAATAGCCTTGAGTGAAATGAAATGCCTTCTTTCGAGTGAAAACGGTCTCAAGCGAGACAAATCTTGTTTTAAGAAAAACAATCTTGAGTGAAATAAATCTTCTTTCGAGAAAAACAGTCTCAAGTGAGACAAAGTATGTTTTAAGAAAAACAAATTTGAGTGAGATAATCATCTGCATTAAATGAGACTGTCTTAAGTGAGACAAAGTT